TGCATGGAAAAGCAAGAAGGCCGATTGCCTCGTGTACCCAATGGGAAATCTAAGAGAAAAGAAACAATGAGGATTCGCTTTCGCACATACACGACAATGTCGCGATGACACAATTTTAGAGGGCGATTGAACGCATTTAACATTACGATGGAAAATGTGATTTAAAAGCTTATTGGATAGGTCGCGCTAGGATATTTGCAAATCATCTACTTAACGCTAAGCGAGCTGATCGATCAAATAAATTATTTGCATTACTTTCTAAAATTAAATTTATTTTATCGTTGCCTGTTTCTCGTTGCTTTTGTATTTTAGCAACAAAGCGACAACTATTAATATGATCATTTAGTCTGTACTGTATATTCATCCTTCACGGTCTCGATTCGTATATTATTGTAGTTTCGGTATTCGAATTATCGATCTAAGAGTCATTTATTAAAATTCATAGCCTTTGTAATTATCAATTTCTATTTGAAATCCGTTGAAATGCAACTAATTCGCCAAAATAAATCGAATCAATATATGCAGCTATTTCATCGTGCGTCGAAGAGTCTGCATTTGTACTTGCAACAACTCTGGCGGGAAACAAATGAGAATTCTTTAGTGGAAAAAGCGACACTCCCAAGCTTCTCACACTTTTTACATTCTAGTCCCCTCCTTTCCGAAACAGGAACAAAAAGAAGTGAAAAAAATAAATAAATAAATAAATAAATAAATAAAGAAAAATGACCACAACTTTTTTCAAGTAATGTAAGGAATTTTCTACTTTTCCTCGTGTCTCGAGCTCTATACACTTTATACATTTTATACAGTGTGAACTGAAAGTAGCATATATCACTGAACGCACTTAAAAACGGTCAAGTTAATAAACAATATAAATAAAATAAATAAAATAAATATAAGCAAGCACTAATGCAATTCGACTATTATTACAACTAATCGAGTAACAATCTTTCAATTGTACAGAAATGCCACTGCGTTTGTATTAAACCTTTATATAAGATAAAATAAATGTTTTCTCACTTTTGTGAATTACTGACAAGAGCCATAGGGGGCGTAAAGAAGTCCGTTAATAAATCATTGAGAGCGATCAGAGTTTTCACCGGGTAACAGCGAGAACTAGGGGCAAAAAGTGAAATCCACGTTGCTTCTCCATTATTCGGTAGCTTTTCTTTTGTTTAATTTGAGCTTTATGCAATTTACTGCTAAATATAATGCTAAATCAAGAGATTGGTTGATAAAGTAAGAGCAGCAATAACTTAATAACGATAACATTGCCGAAGAAAAAAAGTGCAACGACTCGGTGCAAATTATCATCTATGAAACGCTGCGACGACTTAATGAAATTCGTAATAGAAGCGCAGAAAAGGCCAAAGTAGAATGAGACTACAACGCTACTAGAGGCAATTTTCGCCTGGAAAACCAGTGAGATGAGTCCCGTACCACCTCGCTATCCGACACGCTAGTCTAATGAAAAACTAGTCCAAGTGAGAGGGCCCCCCATATAGGGTGCGCTTTAAAAAGTCCGCTTGAAAAGTAATTTAATCGGCGTTCGGGTGGAACGGCACGCGCTCGCTGCTGAGTGAAAAGCTGAGTGGAGCTGGGCCCAGAAGACTTTTAGAAGCTTCGCCCCCGCGAATCCACGCTTCTGCCCACTCACCCTGTAAATTCAGCGTAGCGCGAGCTGAAGAAATAACGAGGGTCGAGTGAAAAAAGTGGTCCTTCACTCGGGCATCATAGACCTCGCGAGCCTATTTTCACGGGCGCCTACTATCTACTGAAGATTCTCGACGGCGTACTCTCCTCCGTCTCCTCGACGGTAATCTCTCGACGCATTATACGAGAGCCGTTCTTTAAATTCCAGACCGAGAGAACGCTGCACTCGAGATAAAAAGGTAGAGAGAGAGAGAGAGAGAGAGAGAGAGAGAGAGAGAGAGACAGACGTCTCTCTTTTAAGACCGAGACGCGGGAGATAAACTGCACGCGGCGAGTTCGCACATGGACGAACGAGGAAGGGAAACCGGGGAAAAAGATGGGATAAAAACGGAACGAAACGAACGTCGATGTACTGCTTTTTTTTTCGATTCCGCTCGCGCACGAATTGACGGGGAACGTACTATCACTTGCCGAAGATTTATACTTACTGCCCGCGGCCGCATTTTTTTGGGCCCTCCCGCAGGATTCCTATGCCAGCGTCCATTTAGTCTTCATGGAAATTTTAAAATCGTAATGACCGAGGCTTTGTAAGGTGGCATCGCGGAAGCCACGTCATTCCCACTTGCAAATCTGTTCGAACGGCTTATCAAGGCCCCTTTAGTATTATGAGATATTTTTGCGGATAGATGAAACATCGGCCTGATGAGCGTACGATTATAGATACGCCCAGTTGACAATACAAAATTCGACCATAATTTTTTTTTTTTTTTTTTTTTTTCTCCCAATCTCATCTCAAATGCTCAACGAAGTTACTAAATACGGTAACCGATCAATTTATTAAAAAATAAAAATAAATAAATAAATGAATATTAATAATTGAGGTCATTACGTACTGATTATGTTCCTCTGTACAAATTCAAATTTAGAATAATGAATATTCTCACACTAGTAAGAATTTTTAATAATAATACGTAATACTATCAAGTGGTATTCTAAATTGCAAATTTATTAATCGTTAATGTTTGTCAAATATTAATTTTCTGCTCTGCCGTGTAAGAAAACATGTGAATTAATCTTTCAATTATTTTATCAGATTATTGTATGTAGCATAATGTTGCTGATTTAACATTGTTTTTGTTACATAACAATTTTTGAAATATGTAACATTGAGATAAAACGCTGATGTTTTTGTCTTACGCGTACACACTGTCCCGCAAATTTAACGATTTTTTAACGACACTCACATATAGTATCATTGAGACTGGAGTAGATTACATTAACATACAACGCAATTGACAATCAGTCTTTATAATGAATATGTACTGATTTCAGGATGAGTGGAAATTGAATTTAATAGAGTAACAATTCATTATCCGTAGCGATGACGAAATTTTGTTCTGTTTGATAAAATTTGATAAAAATTTTATTATCCAAATACGGGAAATTCGATACATACAGTGGATGAAGATGATGTAATAAGTGGCATTAATATTTTATTTATATAATATATGAATAATATCGGTTATCAGTTTTAAGAACTATTAATGTAAAATCTAATATGGAATAATGGATAACAACAAGCATTATGCTTATAATTTTCAAACATTTTTTCAAAAATATAACAAAATCATACATTAATTAATTGTCTAAATATGTTTAGCATTGACATTTTATTTATTGTTTCGCTAATATAACTGACTATTTCTTGACAATGATTAAATATTATCAAGAAATATATTACAACATCAATTAATAACTTCCTTTAATGACTTTATTTATAAAATGAATGAAAATGAAAAAAAGCCATAACAATATTGGTTCGATCCTTACTTTTAAAATATATTTTTTTTCTTTTAATGGTCGTGTTTATTTTAAATGGCTAAGCTTTTTATTTGTCTGTTAAGTCGATATGAAAGATCTACTAAGGTTAAGGAAATAGAAGAAAAGTTAGTTTGGAAACAAAAAAAATCTCTAATCGATCCGCGCTTATATAGATACAAGGAAAATCATAAGTTCTAAAAAAAAAAAAATAAATAGAAGGCACTAGTGACAGAGGCCCAATGAAGCATTGCAGTGCTTTTATGTTGTCGAGGGCCCAAAACCAATGTTCATCCCTGGAAATGCACTTAGTCCTCTGATACAGAAGTGCGGTTTGTCGTTGCTTTGATCACGCCGTCCATAAGACTTTTTCATCGTTGTACCCGGGGACATAAACCCAATAAATATATTCCTCGTAGAGACTAACAAGGTGAAAGCTTATAAAATCATGAAACCGTGCAATTTTTGTTTTTGCCTTTGTTTATGTTTTTGCAAGCGAAATCTTTATGATAAAAGTTATTAATTGAATTTTCATTCCTTACCATACGCTTATTAAAAATAACCGTGTTAGTATTTTTCGTCGAATAATCAATCTTTAACTAAACTGTATACCAGAGTAATATGATTAACGATATGGTTTTTGTAAAGTTGGCTGTACGTTTCGATTTTCATACTTGGATATGATGTTTTCTCTCTCTCTCTCTCTCTCTCTCTCTCTCTCTCTCTCTCTCTCTCTCCCTCTCTTTCCTTTCTTCCTTTTTCTTATTCGAAATCAACTTTAGAGAAGTAAGTAACATATGCAAACGCCAAGTAATATCGAAGCATGACCACATCACTCCATCCATCAAACGATCGTAATTGATTTATCTATTACTTTAACATAAAGAATAAGTTCGTAAAAGTAAAAATTCCTCCGAGCCAATGTGATGATAGTTTTAGTTTTTGCCATAACGAGAAAATTGTTTAAGGATCGTTGTGAAAGAAAAAGAAGCCTTTGAGTAGAAACTCCATTTCTTTTTTTTTTTTTTTTTTTTTTTTTTTTTTTTTTTTTTGTATCATTTATATGCTAACGACTTTCCGACGACTCCAGCAAAGCTTTGTATTTTCGTACAATGAAATGTATTGGTATGCTTCATAACTGTTTTGCAAATTATTGCAAAAGTCAATAAGTGAGGCATTTGTATAAAAAAAAAAGAAAAAAGGAAAAAAAAAGAGTGGTACATGATTATCGTCGCGGTTAAGAGCGAACTACCTAGTCAACCTTCGCGTATCGCGCAAATAGCGAGTAAAATTGCAATTGAACAGGCAGAAGGGAATTTCCGCTTAAACATGCCGAATATAAATTTATAATTGCTCGTGTAATCGCAAGCACATAATCAATGTAATCTCTGGTGACTGCAGAACCCCCCCCCCCCCCCCTCCAAAGCCTATTCGATCATTTTCAGACATCTCGGGTTTCGGGATAAAGGTGGCGGAAAACGTGTGGAAGGAGTGAGAAGAGTCATAGAGACGTGGAGTGGATGCCGTACCTCATACTTTTGTATGGAATGCAGCTGCTGTTGCGTCGGCTCAGTCTTGCCTTGGTCGCTCTCCTCGACATTGTTGTTCTGCGCGGAGAGTCGCAGATTATCCTTGGGAGGTCGGGCTGGGGCTCTCTTCTGGTCCCTGGGCGGAATAGCGGGCTTGACGCCATTGAGTCCGGCCTGGAAAATTCATCCATAACGCGTTGCAAATTAATGGCTCTTGCATATTTCTCTACTATCTTTCTCCTTTTTACGCGCTCACCAATACTTCTCTATATCTTTTTTTTCTCATTCGCTCACGCACACACGCACACCGCTCCTCATTTATAAATTACCGACTTCCTGGATTCGTCATAAAGGCGGATGAGTGTCCGTTTACAAAGTAGCTGTTGTAATTATTCTATTTTTTTTTTTGCTTTGTTTTTGTTGCGTTCAATCGTTCAATCAAAGTTTCATTTCCTTAATGAGATGTATGTACAACATAACCTTGTGTCGAACATTGTGTTCGTTTTTCAATGATAATCTCAACTCTTTTTTTATCACGCGCAATGCTTAAAATTGTTAATGATACTTCCAAATTATTAAAATAAATTCAGATAAATCAATATATACGATGGAAGGATCATTAATAATTTTGAGATATCTAGACTGATTTGAGTACTTTAAACGTTTATTGATACGTCATGCTATTTAAAAGTAACTTTTTGTCATAAATAATTCGTCCTCCTATAAAATGAATTTAATAATGTAAATATTATTGTTCGTAAAATGTTGAAAAATAAGATAATGTAATAATGAATGTTACCAAAGGCATTCTTAAGATTAATTTTTTTTTACTTTATGTAGTCTATACAATTATTTAGAACATATGACAAAACAATAATATAATAATGAAATAAAGTTAGATAAACTTTGATATTTTATTTACATCGGAATAATTTTACTATTTGAAGTTCTTTTAAATTCCTTTAAAATTGGTAAGAGTTGATGTTGATGGGTGTAAAATGTTCAAAAATATTTAGATATATAGAATGTATTAAGTTATTAAATTTTCAACACACCTTTTCTCAATGTTAATAAGTTTTTGTTTTTGTTTGGTTTTTTTTTTCTCTCCAATATACTTAAAATCTAATAATACTTATTAAATGAGATAGAAGTATCAATCTTTAGATGATGATATTCAACGAAATATTTATTGGTTGTAAAGGATTTCAATAATGAGTAGTTTTTACTTCTTGATCTTGCAGATAGGTAATGGCGCAACATGTAAATATATTAATTTTGCTTATATTAGTTGCAAAAATTGTGGTTTGAGTATTACATATTCTTATAGTAGGGACGCGTGCACCGAGGAAAAGAAAAATAGGGAAATAAGAAATACAAAAATAAAGAGAACATGCACTTACACGAGGAAATTAGGTAGATAGGCGTGTAAACTCAATTTCTCTACATTACTGTATAAATCACATGCTTAGATGTAGTCGAGATTTCAGAATAACCTATTTTAGTGTAGTATTTAGCATCAATTTACCATTTCTCTACGTTTTTTTATTACATGCTCTTTTGATTTTTAATCTACCATCACTTGCCTCTTCAACTTTTTAAAATCGAAAAATATTCGAAGATTTTTTTTCAACTTACTTGTTGGAAGTGTCATATAGTGCGTTAAAAATAGAAGAAAAAAATTAATAAATCCCTTTTACCATTTTACAATAATATTATTTATTAGTTTATTTTTTCTTCATAAGATAAAACTACATATTATCTACGGGGGAATGTATTTCAATATTTTCAAACGTTTTAATATAACAGCCGATAATAAATTCAAGCAGCTAAATAAAAATAATCTCATTTAATAAAGCAAGGATTTACATCGAAATTATATATTTAACATATATATATATATATATATATATATATATATATATATATATATATATTGTCATTAAATATTTGAATCAAATTATTCTATGTTTTATATAGAATAATACCTTACTTTTGTTTACTTTAAAAGTTGTTGCATGTAATATCTAAATTAAAAAGTAAACTGAAAATCACAGGCAATACTGTTTTCAATAAAAGAAAATTAATTTTATGTAAGATACATACATAAATCAATAGCTGAGTATGTGAGTAAATTAAAGTATAATTAAGAATATTTTAGCGCATCGTATCCATGTAAATAGTGTTGCTCAACCAAAGATTTTATTTTAATCATACGATAATTAATTTTTGATGAAATTCTGAAATAATTCACAATAGAATGCCCGTAGAAATACGCCCTGCATAAATATTCGAGATATTTTCACTTTAAAATAACCTCAGGTTATATCTGTTTTTTAAAAATGCATTGCGAATTTGATTTAGAGTGCTTATAAAAATGTACACTACATAAATATTTAAGATATTAGTTCCTTAAAAGTAATTTAACGGCATAACTATTTCAAATATCTGCTCCGAAATTTATTTAAACTGCTCATAATACACATTTTTATAAAATTGCACATAAATATTTAAATTATTTCCCTTTTTCAGTAAGACAAATTGAAGACGTAACTGCCTCGCAGCGTATAACCTTTTCAAAACTATCGCATCTACCAAATACATTGGACAAACAATAAGGGATAAATATTTATGACTCTGCGGCAGTTATTTTGCTATTAAAAGGACTAGTATTTTCTTTAAAAAGACTGGCTAGGTATTGTAAAAGTGGGACAGGTAGAGGAACGGCCCTCATTTACCGATTCCACGAAAAGCGAGTCGGTAGCTGTGTACCATATGAAACGGGAGGACACGTCTGTGGGAAAAGGTATCAGACAATTTAGTCGATTCTTTTCGATACGCTGCAGAAGATTCGACAGCAGGCATTTGCGTATAAAGGAAGAAAGATAACGAGACTCGCGTCGTTCGACGGTATTGTTGTAATAAATCCGCCGGGAGGAGGATACGCGACGCTGATCCTTAAAACGAGCAGACACCGTGAGATGGCCGGACGTGCTAAAAGCAACGTCAAGGTCATGAGGTAATCTAGAAGGTGGCGGTAAGGAGAGGCGTCGACCGTAAATAGACGAGTGAAGACAATCGCGGGGGACGAGCCTCCTTGGCAGGTAAGGCAATAAGCAACGACTGCGCTATGGCGAAGACGGACGTGATAATTCGGCGAGAGGCGTTATAATTTTAAGACGGAAATTCCGCATTAAGGTATTACAAAATCCAGCGATGAGCGATAACCAGCCAAAGTCGTTTTCTTTTCTACAAAACCGAGAGCCCATCTTTATCGTGAGAAAATCCGATGGACGAGGGAAAGACACATGAATCAAAGTCTCGAGCGGTGTCAATCCCTGCTTCGATGCCCCCCCCCCCCCTCACCCTCACCCTCACCCTCACCCCGCTCACCACCCGCCCAGCCACAAAAATAAAACTCACGATGCATCAGATGCAGTTGATAGCGTCTAGATAAGAGGATATTTAGTGGTTTGACAACCTAATATAATGCATAGTGAGCATAAAAATGTTAATAACGACGTCGACGATAATAATACCAATGCTCGTATTAATTTCGGAAATCTCACGGAATTGATCATCGAAAATGACCGCTCGAAGTCCGTCCAAGTTCCTTCGAGGGTTGAACCGGAATTCACAGAATTTCTTTCGAGTGTTCCAAGTGCCTGTAATACCGACGAAGATTGAGAGGTACGATTTTCAATCTTTGAAAGAGGCTTCCAAACACATAAAATCAGAGTTGCTGGAAGTTTTCTTTGAAGCATCGATGCACAAAGCATTTAGATAGTACAAAAGATGTGGAAACGGCCCGTTTGAAAAGCAAGTCGAGCTTGCCGATGAGTATTTTTAACCACGCGTCTAACAAATTACCTTCGATATTTTATTATTTTTACTACTTGATACGAATACTATAAACGGATCTAAATTCTTGTTGAATAATGAGAATGAAAAGAAACAAAAAAAAAAAGAATGAAATGATGATAATACGAGATCGAGAGCATACAATACCGTCCATAAAAGATGATTATAAATTTTGAAACGAATGAGCCATAATAAAAAGATAAACAATTGTCTGAACAAGAATTGTTTCAATTAGTTTTTTGAATGATGTTTTACGAGCATTTTGTCCATACATGATTACTCAAATATTGTAGAAATAGTGCATTTGTTGTTGTTGCTGTTTTTGTTATTGTTGTTGTTTTTTGTTTCCTAATTGTTGTAATCTAAACAATTAATCTAACTTTTTTAATAATACTAATTTTATTTGCTTGACGAAGAAAAATATGTGCACTCGTTTTTGCAAGATGCAAATAACGTTTGAGCTGAAATTTTTAATCGTCTATCCGGACGAACGAAATATATGGATAGATGCACACGTGGAATTGTAAATAAATTCAAACAAATGATTATGTTATAATAATTGACGTATACTCAGTTACTTTTTTACGTATTGTATATTACACAAAATGAATATTCTTTTATTTCTTTTTCTCTTTTTTTTGTTGCCCCTAGTTAAGTTCAGTATGCGCGTACGTAACTACTCCCTTCATTTATTAAGTAAAAGTAAAAAAAAAAAAAAAAAAATGCCCCCGCGACAATTAACCGCTCAATGATTCGGCTTGACTTTTCTTATCGGTATTAAAGCGTTTGTGCTGGGCATTTGTAGCTAAGGTATTGGTCTGTTAGGTGTGAAAGCGCTAAGCGTGCTTAGGTACTCGGGCACCGTCACTTCAAGGTTTCGGAATCCCTCGATCAAGAAGATCCTGACTTATGTGACCTTACCTTCTTCTCGGCGGACCTACAACGCTCGGCTGTGATAATGTCGTCGTGCACACCTATCGTCATCAACTCTGGGCTTAACGTCACATCGTTGTTGTTCTCGTTCCGTTTGTCTTTAGCTTTGGCCGTTTCACCCGCGATACGTTTCGACTCGAGCGTATTAGATTGCGAGGGCGTCTTGCAAGGCGGCGGATATACCGGGTGGCTCTTGGTAACCGGAATGAAATCCGGCGGACAGTCTACAGCGACCTCGCGGTAATTCTTATTGCCGCCGAAGACGAGGAAGGACGTGTGTTCGATCTGATCGAACTCCGCCGAGGCGTCGCTGCGCAGCGTTGAGTAGCCGCTGGACGAATGCTGCTTCTTTTTCCGTATCCGCGGCATCGACGACAACTCGACGTCCAAGAGCTCGTCGGTCGAGCCTATTCGCAAGAGTTCTTCCGCCTCCGGGCCGGATATCTTTGCGCTCTGGCGCTTCTTCTTCTTCTTCGCGTTGCTCACCAAGGACTTCTTATCGCTGCTTACGTTATTGTTCATCTGCCCGTTGACCTTGTTCAAGGCCTGCTCACCGATGAGCAACGTGAGGTCGCTGACCTGCTCGGGCCTTATCATAAGATTCTGAATGTCCTGGAAATCCGCGAGGCCGTAAGCGGGATTATCGAAGGACGTGCTACTACTGTGCTTGCCGAATATTTGGGGTAACTTGGGACTTCGGGGCATCGACGTGTCCTTGGCCAGTTCGCTATTACGAAGTACGAGACTGTTGTCGAGCGGCACGGTACTATCGGACCTGCCCGAAGAGCTCCTCGGGCTGGCCGAGTCGTCGCTGCAGGTCTTCAGCATCGTTGGATAATCTTCCTTGGCGAAGGGATAGTCCTCGTCTACGTCTACGCTCGATTCTTTATGTCCACTAAGGTCTTCCTCCTCCTCCTCCTCCTCCTCCTCCTCCTCTTCGACCTCCTCTCCTTCGTCGTCGTCGTCGCCGTCGTCGTCGTCGTCGTCGCCGTCGTCGTCGTCGTTGTCGTCGTCGTCGACGTCGTCGTCGTCGTCGACGTCGTCGTCGTCGTCGTCGGACGTTCTGAATGGATCTTTGATAATATCTAGATGGCCGGAGTCTCCAATCCTAACAATGTCTTCGATGATGAGTTGACCGATGCGCGCGGACCCTCCCACGTTGTCGACGTCGACGTCTATTACGTCGACGTCGATGTCGCCAATGAGGAGCTCGGGCTCCCCGATCTTCAGCTCTATCCGTCGACTTTTGTTCGCTGCGTCTTTGCTAAAGTCTAAGGATATATCGCTAGCGCTAAGGGGACGGCCAAGAGGTGACTGCGGCTCGGCGCTTTGGCAAGCGGACGAGGCTGACGACACGAGGATGCGCGCGGGGTCTTTCTGTATTACCTTGTTGGGGTAGGCCTGCTGGAGCAGGGTGTCGGGCACATCGACGGGCAGCTCCCGATGGTGGCCCAGGGAGCCCGGGGCCCACATCTCATCGGGGCCCACAGACTCCTTAGATATGCCCCCGCTAACGTTGTTGGCCTCCTGCTGCTGCTGCTGGTGCTGCTGCTGGTGCTGCTGGGGAATGCCAGGCACGCCACTGCCGCTTCGGCTGCGCGACCTGAAATCCAAAAGCAGCCGGGTGTGAGCGGACAACGCCTATCGCACCAACTCCTTACTTTATTCTACCTCCTTACTTTAGCGCTTAAAGATTATGCGACTATGATTAAGCGACTATCTAGATTTGTGGCTAGCGTTATTGAGAGGGGGTAGGGGGGTAGGGGGGGGGGGGCGGTTTCGACTGCCACGAGTGGAAATTTATCCACTCGACGTCTCTACATTGTCAATGCTGGGGCTCGATTTACGATTCTCGCTGCAGATTCCTCGCAATTTACGCCAAGTTCAAATCCATGAGAATGGCCTCCCTTAGCCTACTTGCGAGCTTTAACTTTACGAGCGATAATAGTTTTGCTAATGCGTTACGTGCCACTGTGTTGAATCGTTATCGGCTTGTTCACGAATTTTTGTTTGTTTTTATTATTGTATTTATTTTATTTTCGTTTTTTTTCCTCCAAAGAATCCTTTAAATGCCAAATATTTTAATGTCTACGGTCAACATTGATTAACGTTGATAATAACGACTAACAATGCCTCCATTCTTACCACAAATATAGTGGGTTTAAGAAGTGCCGCGAAAACATTATGAAATTACCATTGCTTTTCACTGTATTGACTTAACTTACGAACTATTTTCGCCGATTAATGTACGCGATTAATGTTTGCTGCGTTTTTATAATTTTACTTCTTTTCGTGATATTTAGCATTTATTTTAGGACACTTGTGTTATTTAATAGGTGAAATGATACGGTTAAATAATAATTAATGGAAAGTTTTATCATTTTTTTTCTTCATTTTGTATTCTTCTACTTGAGTATTTTAAATTACTAATTGTATGTAATTGTGTGACTGGAGACGTAGTATATAAAATAAGCCAGTACTTTCTGTTTTACTGAAAGATTCGATGATTGTTACTTTCAAGTACACGACAAAACCGGTACTTCAAATATGTGGTAAAAAATATTTTGTGATTATTAGCCTACGATGAGGATCAATAAAATGAATTCTCAAAAATTAGCATAATATGGAGAAAGCATTCTTAAAAGCTAATAGTTATAGGTTTAGTTTTATAAAATGGGTAGTGTTGAATTGATTTTTTAAATGATAGACCTCGTTACCTGGTACTGCCGGGTATCGTTTTTAAAGTCCCAACACTACGTATCATCGAATAGGAGGGTAGTTTAGATTTTGTAAAATATAATAAGTAAAACTATATAGTACTGCGGTTATGGGCATTTTAATTACTGTTAATTGGTTGTATGGGGATGGGGGTGGGGTGGTGGTGGTGGTGGTGGTAAAGAACATGTATGATTGACGGAACGTAAGTATGCGCTTTAAAAATAACCGAAAAACACAAATACGCGTAATAAGTGGTAAAGATAGAAATAAAAGACTAGCGTATCTAATTTACTGTGCATTCTGGAAAAACCTGCCTTACGAAAGTTCCCATTGTTACATACAAACTCTGATTCGTTTTGCGACCTGATTATATTAAGTATTACATGTGTATCTCTTACATGATTCACGTACATAAATGCGAAAAAAATGTGAAAGGAACTTTCGTTAACCATAAATAAATGCATTATTCAGATAGGCGGTTCTAAATTTTGAAATTACACGTGTAATGTCACGTGAGAATGCAAAGAAAAAAAAAAGGCATAACTAAACCAAACAAAAATGAAATGAAATTTTATGCAGTAGAACCTGTAAGAGACAGATGCAGTAATAATATTATTTCTCATCTAATGTTATATTATTTACATAATGTGATAGCTGTAGGAAATAATGCTAATGTCTCGCAATTGGAATAAGGAAACTAAGGAAAGTCACTTCAGCTCCGGTCCAATGTCAGTACCCTTGCATACGTGTTTGCACCGCCTGAACCTAATGGCCAGCCATGGGCTGATTCATTCCAACTTTCTACGGAGAAACGCATACTAGCAGCAGTTCAACAATATGACGTTGCCGAACGGACAATCTCACTTTGCACCGAGCCCTCACATTCCTTATACATACAAACAAATTTATCAGCTTTTAGTACAAATATATACTTGGTTAATCAATGAAACGCATAATGCGCAGCTGCACGCTAGTGATTCAGTATGCGCTTATGAGTATTTTTTCTTCCTCCCTTTGGCGAGATCGAAGGATTTTGTACTCTCGTTTAAGAATATTTTACAGCATTATGCAACATTGTTCATGATGATTGGACAATGCGGAACAGGAGCATTTAAATAATGGAAATATTTGAAGGAACCGAACCATTGTATAATCGCCAGTGCACGTGTGCACAAGAAGCGAAATTAATTTTCAAGCAAACGCAAATCGTGAGACAATGTATTTTTTTCGCAACATTTATCGCTATAATTATCTCAAAATACAATATCAAAACGATATTTTAATGATTGGATATCAAGTTTTTAATAAAATGCGTTAACATACTAATGGGAGCCAATAAGCGCGGCACGTAATCGTTGATTTACTTTACATTTTTCTTCATAATTATAGGAAGCCCTCGAAACAATCAAAAGCAAATGTAATAGACGGTATGCTAACTATTAAATACGAACATTTTACATGAAATTATACAATCTGTGCTCGTACGGTAATGTATAATAAAATCCGTAATACTCGAAATCATTGCAAAGGAGGAAACGCCTCGTACCTTTTTGTAGATAATTACGCATAATTAAGCATATAAGGTTAACATATCTTGCTTCCATAGAATGGAGAATGTGAATCATAAAAATAGCTGATGTCAACTAGACCGAAATCAAAACGAGCAATTCGCTTCCGCACAATAGATGGAAGAAGGGAAATGAACTTTATAGTTAGCGTATATGCCATAAAATTTCTCCCTGTATTATTTCGTCTTTCCTCATTCATCAATAAACAAAGCAGCCCGCAGAAACATAACGCAGGCCTAATTGCATTAATCGCGGGGCAAACAACAAAATAAAAAAAAAAAAAAAGAAAAATTATGGAATTTCCGGCCGTGCTGACAAAAATTGACCCACAGGCCAGATGCTGAAGCCGCTTGCGCGACAGGTAAAAACCAAAGCAATCGCAGGAAAATTAATCAAAAGGCTTTCACCGAACCCCCGGAAGAGTTCAGGGTACATGCAAAGGAGCGTTTATCTTTCGGCACGTCGCGCACCGAATGAATATTGTATAGCGGTGGCGAGCGCACACCGACGCCTACCTTATAAAGGAGCGATAAAGAGAAATAGTATTCAGGCGCTTGAATGTGCGTATGTACGCGCGCCGCCGCATGAAAAGGAGAGACAATGGGAGCTCGACCGGGCGAAACAAAGCGCGCGCGGCTTACATATTATATTATGTGCGCAGGAAGGAATGAAATAGGGAGAGAGAGAGAGAGAGAGAGAGAGAGAGAGA